GTGATAGAGCACACCCAGGGAGAATCAGCAGCTGGGACACGAAACAAAGCCCACAAAAACCATCACTTCACCTGCATCGCAATACATCAGCAGTGAGACTTGAGTTCACGCTGGAAACAGCAAGCAGACTGCACAGTGACTCATTTCCACCAGACTTTTTTATTTTCAATTTTCTTTCTCATCAGCTTTTCACTACTTTCAGAATGTTGGGCAAGCATCGCTCCTGAAAACAACAGTAGAGGTACCGCAAGCCGACACAGCTCTGGTCTGACGTTACTTTTAAAGAGATAAAAGATCTCGTTTTAAATCATTCTTAAAGAGCCTAAAATACTATATTATTGTTAGGAAACATAAGTAAATGATCAAGTGATTAGTGGATAATACACATCAGGAACGTAAGCTTACTTAACAGACTAGATTAACCTCTTAGGTAATACCCGATCATCATGGTTTTATGGTGATTATGAAACACTTTCCATTTTTTTAAAAGCTGACGATTAGAATCGTTCAGCTTGATATATCAGCTTTATACAAAGGCCATAGATTTGTCTCAGATTACAGAATAAGGTGATCTTCCATTTGTTTCACCTATACATTATCAGGACACTTTTTCACAGAAGGTTGCGATACATTTCCTTTAATATTTCAAATTTAGATGTTTAAAATTTCTAATAATTTTTTTATCTTTGAAAGACTCATCCCTCTTATGATGTTTATTCTCATTTTAGAGCAATGAACAAAACGTTCAAAAAGCTGTGACTACACAATTTTAGTGTTATTATATGATACTGTACAGTTCAGTAAACTGCTTACAACCAGATTTACGACATAAAAATGTAGTTAGAAGAAAACAGCATTTTTGTTAAAGGCTTTCACATTGTTAAAACAGAAAGTAACCCAATGACCCAACCAATGGCTTTGCAAGTGGGCATGACAATCAATCATAAATTCTAAAACAAAATATGCTGTTTCTAGACCTGCAGGTACTATATTGTGTTCAATTAAACCCTCACACATACAACCCAGATGGAAAGTTACATTCTTAAACCACCTGATCTCTTTTAGATTGCATACTGATACAGTTCCAGAGGTCTTAAAGACATACAGGCAATCCTATGTTGCTTCATTCACATAAAAAATGGGAGAAAACTCATTGTGATATAAAGATTGGCTTATATTTTCCTACCCTAGTCATTCAATTCATAAAACTGTAGTCTTACACAAGCCCTATGAGAACCTACTCTTAATACATAGGCACATCAGGAGCTTTTGCAAAAAACAGTTTATCTGTAAGAGAAAACGTCCATTTTATCTTCTGGAGAATTTAGAGTTTTCAGATACTGGCTGCATATTATTTATAGATATTGACACAGTCGACTTAATCGTACAGTCTGTCAATGCAGTTGGGGCTCTCTGGACATTACTAAGTATTCAGTAGTAGAATCTCTTTCACTGAAACTTTGTACTATTTGTAATGAAAGCTATAGCTTTTCTGAGATACTCTGTAAGCAATAATAACCATGTCATAGATAAATTGGGTAATTACTTAAGGTGTACCAGTGCAACAGTGAAAGATAATCTGTTAACAATCCTGTATTTTTATATCATTGCAAAGTACTGCCTCATTCATAATATAAAGTGACAAAGAATCTGCCTTATCTAAGTGACTAAGTGTATTTAGGAGAAATTATTCTCCTTTCTGTCCCAAACTGGAAATGTAGTCTTTTTACTTATGATATGGCCATACCTGAATCTATCAACCTTGTTGCTAATAACAGAACATATTTTAAGCATAGCATTATAAAAATTCCTTAAGTTAATTCTGCTGTCAATTAACCCATGTGATAGTATCACTTTCCATTATTCGAGTAGATAATTGTTTGAGTTTAGCAATTACCATTGCTAAATGATGTATAACAATTATGTGTTATACGTACATTTTATACATGAGGATCCTCCTACTGTCTCTCAATGGATATATGAATTTAACACTTACCTGTTTGTGTCTTTAGAAAGGATAATGAGGTAATAATGAGCTACGAGGCAGTTCAGCAGCTATGTGACAAAACCTGGAATCCCTGGTTATAATGCACATACAGGACATACAATATATAGTATTAGGAAGAAACTGACTTCGCGGTACAAGCGCAGAACACTTCTTTGATTGTTGTACATATTTTTGTTACAGTCTCTTTTTACATTTTTCTTTTATTTTTCTGTTTTATTTCTTTTGATATTATTATGACGTAAGCAGGGACATATTGCCATATTGTATAGTTCACTGCACTGAATTTGACAAAACCCAAATTTGCTAGTTGAAGGACATTAGTACAGGTTTAGTTACAGTTTAGAAATGAAAATCACCAACCTTCTCACCAACATTACTCTAAGTACAGAGCTATTTGATTGCTCAGGCTAGCACAGTGCTGTAAGCATTTTCAAGAGGAATTTCACAAACTGATGACAAAGGGGCACAAAAGGGAGAGATGGATTTTGTACGCATTGTAAAAAATAAAACGTTATAACGTTTTAAAAAACTGGCATTGAAAAGCAAAACCAGCAATAAAAGGAAACAACAGAAACTTGACGAAAGCTCCAAAATATCTGTAATAAAAAATACTTTGGACTGCATCTTTAAGAAGTTTGCTTGCTAGAGGAAAATAAACCCTTTCATTCCCCTCCAATGCGGTCACATGGCGAAATTAGATTTACAATCGCGCATCAAGACAAAAAAGAAAATCCTGTTTTCTAAAGGTCACAGTTAAATTACTGAAAAGTTGCCCTGAGCATCTGAAGCCTTTGCTTTCTTGCCATCTTAAATGATAAGGGGGTACAAAACAACAGTGAATACTGGACTGGACTTCTTGAAACCAATGGAATTCGCCATCATATGCAGAACCTACAGATAATTTGGTTTTAATATCACTTTTGACGCCTCCCACGTTTTTGAAGCCTATAAAATTAAACCTGACAACACTTGGACATTTAGTTTATAGACTATAAAGTGAGTTCTAAGGTCCATTAAGAAGCCAGCGTGAGATGTCATGCGAGCAAGAAAAGAACCAGAAATAAGTCCACACAGTGCTGTTGACACATCTGCAGAAGTGATAATTGGGAAGGATCACTCCATTGAGCAACACTGCCAAAGAGATTTTTTTACATCCCAACCCAGCCCAGCAGAATTCTACCACATGCTGGATAGTCCAGTGCAAACACCTGACAATCCAAGCACTAATTATTCTACTCAAGGGCATTTGCACTCAGTGTTTTACTGTCTGGGTCATATGTTGTCACTCATTTCTAATTGTGAATGCAGTAAGCATGTTAATAGCCTGGCTCTTGCAGAATAGATTCAGTTACTCCAGGGCCTTTTTTCTTGGCACTACCACTGTATGGTTGAACTGTGTGCATTCTCACATGTAATTGTGCATGCAGGAATGTAGATTGTGAAGGCCATTTCAATACTACTATTTAGAAGCCATTTGAGAATAATACAGGAACCACTGTCAAATGTTCACAACAACCGTCATGCCTTAATTGCTGACGGATGTACTGTCGTTTTTATATTTAGGGTGAGGACAAGGGAGGACAATGAGATGTTTATTATCAGGGAGTGTGATCTGTAACAGTGAGGAAAATCACCATGACTGTCTGGGTCTTCCATGGAGGCATAACATTTTTTGTTCTGATAAAAAATATGTCTACAACACTTTAAATGAGACACAGCAAATGAATACTATAAAATCATGTATTATACAATTGCCTAAAATCTATTATCACTTTACATGTTCTGCATAGAACATAATTCACATATTTATAACTGAATCCAAGTCTTAACAAGTCACCAGCATTACTTAACTGGCTAGTTACATCTTGTGTTTAATACTGCCAGGTTTGGGGAAGAATCTAATACTATACAGTATGTCATTATAAACAAACTTAATGTGATCTTTCTAAATTCAGATTCAGGCTGAAGTTCTGAAGTTTAACAACACCAGGATTACTTTCCAATTCTACTATGTCTAGACAGGCCAAAGGGAGCATAATTAACCCATAATTAAAGTCAAATCCTTACAGCTACACGCTACTCTCAGTAATTCATCAACCACAACAATAATTCTGCACATAAATGATACTAGTACTGTAATTTATAAAGATTGGCATGCATAAGAAATATGGTCATCAAGCTATTCACAGGGATTTTTAGATCTTCAGACATTGCATCACTCAGGCTTTTGGGCTCCCTTCTAACCACACGTGAGCCTCTCCCGACTCAGATAAGCATTGCTGTTAGTGGCATATTCACTAGCTTGTAGAAAAGTTGTTTTCTAGAACGGGCAAAGAAATGCATCCTACAGCATGATCATATACTATGTTTGTGCAATTGGAAGGCATGAATAAGGATGTAATAGCAAAACCCGGTTTCGCTACGTATCATCAGTCAGGCTACTTAGTTTGATTTTCTGCAGGCTTGCTTGACTGCCATTGCTCAGAAATACCCTGAAGTCATTTAGCTTTAGGTAGAATGCTGCTCTAGGATCACCATATTATATCAGCCATGGAGCCCTGTATTGACTGTAAGTAACTAGACAGTGGCCTCTATGGAACTATGCAGCTTCTCCCAAATATACAGTACACTGGATTTACATTTTTACTATAAAAAGTAAAAATAACCAAAGTATTGGTTAGAATATTTTAGAAGAGCAATATTTGCTTAAATAATAAGTGTTGCCGAGCATATCCCAAGCCTCTGAAGCCAGGACGAGGAACAAAAATGCGGTTTTCATTTGAATTATGCAGTCTGTAAAGCAGATGGTCTGAGCGCTAATTTTACCTCGAGGGTCAACACAGCAGTACTTGGCGGAGGTCGCCGACACATTTCAATGTCAAAGATGACAAAATAATATGTGAGACGTCTTTTCATTTGTGGACATTTATGAAAATAATAACTATGGCTTTCCTGAATGTGCCGAATCAAGCAAAAAAAGGGTAACACTTACTCCCTCCATGACAGCTTATTAATGATAATAAGGAGCTCAGCTCTTGAGGAGGTCTGTAGCTGATCTTGAAAGAAGATCACGTTTTGACTGTATTTGGGATGAAGGGTCAGTTCATTTCCCTGCCTTTTCTTTATTTTTAAGAGCTCCATATGCGATCTTCATACATACATCATGTAGGTTTAGGGGCTGTGGGCAGAACAATGAAAGGAAATTATTATTGAAGAATGATATAGTTTGGCTCATTTTAAAACAAGGATGGGCAAAGCATATCATGCATTTCCCTTTCAGTTCTTAACTTCAGCCCTTTTTAGATATTGTATAGTAGAAACAAGCACTGGCCAGACCATAAAGTCTAACTTACTTAGTTCTTTGGTTGGTAAGACATAACCTTCAAGACAAGAAGATATCACAATTCCAAAGAATGTAAACAATCCCATGTTTAGTATTACTGCTATTAAAAGCATTCTTACCGAGGTAATTACATTTTTAATTTATAACGGTTCTCATGAAAGTGCATTAAAAACTGCAAGAATGCTCCCTTAACTTATATTTATACAGCTGATGGAAGTTACAGATAAAAAGAAGAATGAGCACACACAAAAGGCTTCAAAAACAAAATGCTTCAAATGGCAAGCATAACAAAACAAGAAAGATATCAGTTATTTCAGAATGGCATTTTTTGCTAAAGACCCAATTCATTATTAATTCATGACTCTGCTAAACCATACCGAAGATGAAAATAAAAAAAGGGAATCTCCTACTGAAAGAGAAATTCAGAGTAGTGCTTTGGAGGTTTCTAGTCTAAGATAATCTAAGTAAGAAGTCTTATATGCAGGTTTCCTAAGTAAAAATAAGGTAAAATCCAGATGTCCAGATGTTCAAGATGAACAGTACAGTTTGCCAATGGTAACAATCTAAATATGGACGCTCTCAGCACCTTTATTTAACATGTGGACACATTTAAAATATGGACAAATTTCAGTGAAACTCTGTATGAAGTCCCGACTTTTAGCACATTGTATGTTCAAAACTATAAAACAATGTGGGGGCTGTGCTAATGTGAAGTATTGCAGACATACACCTTGCTTACTCTGAGACAAATGTTAGGATAAAAGAAAGTCATCAGCAAACCGAGTTTCCAAAGAAAAGATGTATCGGTAGCAGCTGATTTAAAAGTCCTGTCCACACCTGCTGTATGCCCTGCCTCAGTCTGTTATTGGGATAGACATAGAGTGATTGTTGAGCTTTCATAGCGCTGTGCTAATAGCTTAGTGCTGATTTTATGACAAATAGGGAAATACATTCATAAGCTTTTATGGGATGGGCTAATTTAACACCTTTTGGTTCAAACAACAAATTATTTAGACAGAGGCTTATATTTAAGATAAGACAAGATTCTCAATGGCATCTTTGGTAACCAAGACCAAGGAACATAGATAACAGTGTTAGAATTGATTAATATGATAGCCAATATGTAGTTTTAATGCCCACTGAAAATGAGAAATTAATATAGAATTGTTAATGCTGAGTTGCAAAATCATCACAGGTCCTTCCCAATGACGTTAAGGGATTTTTTTATTATTAAAGTTTTGTAAACCCACTCAAACATTGGCATTAGACATTAAAGTACTATTTGAGAGTCATTGCTTAAAAAATGATAATAATTTACTTTATATTATATATAATTTTATGGCATTATAATTAGAAAGACACTTGAGTCCTTTAAATAAGTGTAGTTTGCAAGATCATTGTTCCAGTTAACCTTCAATCCATATCCAATGAACACTAGTACAGTATATAGATATAAAAGACACCTAAGAGCATGTTAAAGGAGGTTCCTGCTAACTTCTGTTTCTCAGGTGTGTCTAGTACTGGTAAGCAAGAACAAAATGGAACTATGATTTATTGGTGCTATTATAAGATTTTAAAAACATCTCCACTCGTTTTGCAAGTCCCTATCAAAGTTATTTCTAGCAGAGCTGGTATAATTGTTGCGTTTTGTGTTCACCCGAATCTGTGCAGTAACAACGTAACAACAGTGATACTGTCCTTAAAAGATTGAATCTTAATAGTTTCGTGCATCTGAGAAAGTTGTCTTCATCTGGTCAGCAAGAGCATGAGTGATAATGTTGCTATTCGACTTTTCGATAAATCGCACCTGAGAATTTTAAGAAGTCAAATGTTACGTTCTCTGTCATTTCACGGTTTATTAACAGGTACCCGAATATTGTACCTTGTTGCTTACTGTTTATAGTACTTTATAACTTAAGTAGCCGTCAAATGTATACATTAAAATGACGTTAGGTTAAAAAACAATATTTGACGTTAGAAAATATATATTGTTCTTAATCTTTTTTTATCTTGTAATTATTCCGAATAATTTTCGCGCAAACGAGCATCTTGCAAAGATTCGTCCAGTATAGACTGTGGCGCTTCAAAATACGTCATTTTTTTAGCCAGTAAAATCATTTATGTGTTCATAAAACGTGTGTGCACATTTTCAACAAGACATTTTCTGTTTCGTGTCCAACAATATATAGTATATGCTGATTTGATGAATTCACCACTTAAACTGAATCAGTGCACTGCAGGTTTAATAGGTTTTCACAACTAACGCACCAACCTCTATGGTGTAAATTGCAAGATTGTAGTCAGAACACAGGCGGAAACGTCAAGCGTCACTTCATATGAAGAGATTCCTCTTAACAGCTACTATCCCTCCTCTCTGAGGTCTGGGAAGAAATGCGGACAAAATGTGGAAAAGTTATTTCCATTTGCCGTTATCTTACTACTTAGTATCGAAGGCAGAAAGTAACAGGGTTTTACTGAATAAACTACCAACGTGAAATATCGGTAACGACAATATATTTTTAATTTCATGAGAAGAAACGATTCCCAGTTAACAGTAAGTGTTGTATGTTTAAACTGCTTACATGTCACCGCCTTCCGTTTTCAGAATACAATATACGTTCATAACGGCTCAAATGTTATAGCTACTGTTAAGGAGTACCACAGACTGTATTGAGCCATATGTTATATTTTTGTTTCTGTGGTCATTATGCACAAAGTCGCGTTGGAAAATTAAGTGCTGTCGTGTTGTCCAGCCCCACATATATTAGATCAAGAGAAAACTGAAATTAACTTACATATATACTGTACATATAAAGCTGTCATCCCTCCTGAGACCGCATACTATTCACCAGTCGAGCCACTCTTGAAACATTTGACATGCATACTGGGGCAGAAAGGGCCAAACTGAATCAAGTTCTAAAAAACTGGGTAATAATTATACTTACTGTACCTTGAAGAAAAACGCCTCAGGTCGAAAAAGAATGGCTTCACAATTACAGAACTGATAACAGCGCTGGTAGCGATGGTGAGAATATTGTCAACGAGACTTAAAAAAATCCCCAAGGAAGATGGTGCAATACTTAACGTACGGCAAAACAGGTAACATGCCTTACCTTTCCTGAAACCAATTCATCAATCCGTTGCAAAATAATGTTTTAGCCTAAAATTGCATAATCCGTTCACCGACGGCGCATAAAATACCCCCTTTGACACCCCTTACCTGTAATTGCTGCTTTTTCTACTTCACTACAGCCGCATTGACACTGCAGATGGTCTGTTCACAGGAATCCCAATTCTCAGATACTCCAAAATCACAATCTAGATGTGTAAAAAAAACGAATGCGCTCTTAACAAATCCAACGGCTCCGGCACTCACACACGCCTCCCTTTATTTCCTACAGTAATTTGAAATCTGTAAAAAAAAATGCTACCGAATCCTGTGCAGTTTTAGCTGCAGATCTCCATCTACGCTGTGATCAGCGAGTCCTTCTTCAACAACTATGCCGCGCTGAACACTCTCAACCCCGGCTTGCTCACACACCTCCCATCCCACTCGCAGGCTCTCCTGAAGAGATGTAAGCGTCGCAAAGACGATTCCGCAATTCTGCCGCTTAAGGAACTTCCTGGAGATTTGGGATGGTCTGCACTTTGGGGTGTGGAGAAGGTGCTTTAAAGTTTCCAGTGTAGCAGCTGACACCCAAGTATGTTGTGATCTGAATCGGTGCTTTGCCAGTGCGAGAAGACCGACTGCCTTACTTCACTGAGCCCTTCAGTGCTTCTCCTCTATAGTGACATCTAGAACCTAAACGCTGATTGGGCTAATTGTAAGATTTCATTGCCAGCAATCTGAAAGCAATGTTTCAATGAATGAGAGACATATGCTGGAACCTTGAAGACGGCAAATGTATTTTTATGTTTATGTAATACATTTATTCACAGTCTAAAAAAGATATCTAGAGATGGCACCAGGGATTTCGCGACGTAATCTGGAGAACAGAAACAGCAACGCTTTTTGAAAATGCTCAATAGCTTGATGGAAGGATTGTTTTGTATGTTAAGAAATATGCGCCGCAGTTTTGACGATGCTTTAATTCAGGAGTTAATTATTTTATTTCTAATTCCTCCACTGAACACTGAACAGCGTTAATAAAACAGTTCAGGTTTCAGAGCTACACTATCTGGAAAGATTTATATTCGCTATATTGTGTTTTAAGGCGCTGTTGGGGTTACAATGTTCTACACTGTTATAGACGGATTTTTTAAAACCTCTTAAATATTCTGTTATTGCATTTACCTGTTGAAATCAAAGGCAGGCTGCCAAGTTTTTGTATGCGAACTGAGAATTGTTTATACAATTGATAAAAAAAAAGTTTCGTAACATGGTATCTCATTTACTTTCAGCAAATAACTTTGATATTAAAAAGTATCCCGGTGATTGTGACGGTAATAGAAAGGACCGCTTGCAAAAATCATGTTGTTTTTTTTTGTCTAGCTTGTTGATAAAGACAGTGGTTTATGCGCAGCTCAAACATACGGTCGTTTTCACACATTTTGAGTATGAAGTGGAAGAGCGTGGAAAGACTGCAGGGAAGAATTTAAAAAACCGCTTACCCAATGCTAATCAGAAGACTTATTTAAATGGAAAACTTTCCAACATCTTGAACACAAATGGACTTCTGCATTCATTCAGTCATACATGAATTATTTTTTTTTTATTATTATAAGCGCAGTAGGGGCGTTTGTCCCGTATTTAAATAATCATAAGTATTAAGTGATTTTTGCCTAGATTGATGTATTTTATATACAAATAAATTAAACACTCGTAAGATAACACCGTTGTAATAGCTAAAATATATCGACTTAGTTATATTTTGCTATTTCCTTCAGACTTGGAAGAACAGCTTCTTGAACTTTAAAGTACAATTCAACTTTAACATGCACTCGAATAGATTCTGGTGTTAGATCAAGCGATAGTTGTTAAGACTAAAGTGGGTCAAAAACACAGAAAAATATTAATTATAGCCCACTAACTTACATATTACAACCCGGATCTTTGGTGCTCTTTTCCTTTAGACCTTTGAGGTTGAAATGAAGGCACTGCAGTATGTCCGTTTCTCTTGTTGCCGAGTGCTTTGTAATGACAACCGCCTAAACCCTGCATTATAGCCCCACCTGCAGGAAACTTCAGTACTGCAGCGTATTTCCATTATTACTATGGAAGACTAACTCCCTGTCGTATTACCAGGTGATAATTCATGCGTATTCACAATTAATATAATTATTTTTCTTTATTTTCTGTCAATAATATGTTAATCAAATGATTTAAAAAACATTGTTTTGTCGAATATAACAGTTTTGTTGGAAAATGGTTTCAAAATACAGCACATAATATCAGCACAGCACAAAATATAATTTATTCTATATCCTTTCAATTACAGATGCTAAGCGAAGTGTGCACCTACAATATTTATGGTTTCTTTAGTATAGGTGAGATTTTTCTAATCTTACATAGTAAGTCATTGGAATATTGTCACCTTTTTATATGTGCAAGGTTAATATTATGCTATCAAATCAAAAGGATTTCAAAAACACCTAGCCTTAGACAAGTGATGTTGCAGAATCTCTGTTTTAATACATCTCAATTACATGACCTCCATATCCAGGATTTTTTTTTATCAAAGCCTGGCCTTGCAAATATTTCACTTTTATAAACAGGGTTATTTCGCTGGTAACAATTAAACAGCAGAAGCCACCCACAGACAGTAAGCTTCACACAGCAGCTCGGTGAACCTTGGAATTTACAAAAAATGTGTCCTTCATGAGAAATGCATAGCAGCCATTATCTCCACTCAATAACAGGGCTGTTGAATAATGTGTGAAGGTTAGTGGTGAAAACTTTATCGTGTTCATGCTGAAAGTCTATACTGTGTGAACACCACTAGAACGTGTCTTAAGCATCTAAGAAATTCATTTCATCAGATAATATTACTTTGCTTTACTTAGTTATTTGAACAACTACATCAATTTATTAGACATTCTGTAGTATGATAATGGTGCTTTTCAGTTGTCTATATTGTGAATAGAGCTCCGTGTAACATTATTGGAAGCTAAATAATTAAAGACAAAGTATTAATTACATTTTGTATGCATCATATTAGTGGTCAATGTGATTTGCAGTGACTGAGGCGAGTTCCTTTGTAAAATTGTGTACATAATGTGCTAGAGGCAACTCTTTTATCCATTCACACCAAAAAAAAACCATTAACAATTCCATGGGGAATTAAAATTCCCATGAAATCCGTGAGGAAGCTGATTGTAAGATATGATAACTAGGTGTAGACCGTGACAGTTTTCAAAGATTACATCTGTCTGATTTGTTGAATAACAAGTGATGATACAAAGCTCTTATTAGGATTTATAAAGTGTTTTATACTTGTGCGGCATGTACTGTAGGTGTGCCTTAAGCTACTGATCTTTTCCATGTGTTTTCAGAAGAAATTCAGTCTTGTTTTAAAAAAACAAGTATCTATATTCAACCTCAATAATGGGAGTCCAGTATGGGACTTTTTACAGTGCTTTTTTAACATATGTACAGTACGCATACTGTAGTTGGGCCCTTACCTATTTTTGGCTGTCTGGTGTATGTGCCTGTTGCTAGTTCAATTTTTCCTGTAATGACTGATGAGAACTGCCTTCACTAAGCAGGAGTGGGAGAATCAAAAATAGCATGAGCAGGACAAGAGGAGCAGCACTTCTCTCAATGACATCCCTGCAAGTTCACAGGCTTCAGTCAGGCAACAAGGGTCACTGCTGTACAGGAAGCCAAGGACATTCAAGCAGACTCAACCTCACCCTGTCCTGTCAATATGCTATAGCTGTGTGTGCGGTACTACAGCCACATCAGGCTAATTACATCACCCAGGATTGAAAGTTTGAGGTTATTTGGAACCTCTTCCATGAAGGCTTTTATTTGTTCTCAGTCTTTATGATCATCCAATACAGATGAATCAGATTGACTAGCATTTGATTAATGAAGTAGATGTACCGTATCTCTGGTGATACAGTTTTAGGGCTTGAAAGCAAGCATTCTTCAATATTAATTAATAATGTAAAGTAAACCAACCAATATGTTTCACATATTTTAATAACATCTCTGTTACAGGAGGAAATGAATAGTAAATGGTGAGCATGCATATTAGTACTCGTTAAGATTTTGCTTTCAAGTAGCTCTATGCACTTGTTTCTAATTATTCAGTTTCTACACTTTCCTCTACTAAAAAGTAGTCGCTGACTTCCTCTTATCTTGCTTGTGGTTACCAGTTGCTATGTTGGTTGCTTACTACCTCAGCTTGCTTGTAGAAAAGTTGCTTTTTATAACTTACAGAGAGTGAGTACAAAGTTCATGGCTCATAAGAGATCTGGACATAATAAGTCTTCTTATTTTTTCACCCCAACTCTGGGATAGACCCTGAATTGGATAAAGCAGTTAGGAAACGGATGGATGACTAGTAAATACTTTAAAGAAGGCACAAAGATTACAGAACAGTGAGAAAGTCCAGGTGGGGAAAGGAAGGAGAAACCTAGCAAAGTGACAAGCAGCTAACACTCAGACTACAAGTAACCAGTGTAGCCGACATCACCGCCTCAAAGGTGGACAGTCTTATAGTAAGAGCTGGTGGTTATTGCGCACATTAGTGAAAGTTGCAAGAGAACATAAGTGAAAGGAAACAAAATTCTACATGAAAAATAACACTAAAGTATCAGCTTGCACTGAGATTCTGCTTGCACTTAGCAAAGGTTCAAGTCAGAGTGGTTTCAAAGTATGCTTGAAGAATGTTTGAAACCCCATGGCTCAAGTCACTGGGTCACCCAAAAAGGCTCCCTCTTCCTCAGCCATTGGAGTGGCAAAACACTGAAAGGTTGAGCTTGGAGATCATGTTTCAGAGAGAGGAAAATTATAACTGGAAAGTTATATCTTGCAAAGGAGTGCAGTCGATCTAAAGTGTCGCATCACATGCAACAGGATTTGTATGTCATCCTTCCATGTCATTATTTAAATTATTGTCTTCTGATGGCTCCTTTGCAGGATGAATTATGTCACACAGGAGATTGTGAGTTCACACCATGTGAAGCAGACAAGGGATTGGACCCTGGGAGTCTGTCTGTAGTCAATACTTCGAACAGATCTCACTTTGATCTGTTGCGCCATCTTCCTCATGGTCTGAACCTTCCAAATTTCACTTCTTTGTCCCTTGAGACTCATATCCTGGACAGGTGCTGCAACTGAAGCTTAGTTGCACAGCAACCAAAAGGCCACTTCCAGGACTATGACAAGAAAAACATTTTTAGGAATACATGTGTTACAACACAAAGTTACTGAATCATGTAGAGCAGAGGTTTAATCCAATAAATAAAACTGGTCACTTGTTTGTTTGTTTATAAAATGCTTTAATTCATTTTATATGCCATTGTTTTTTTAAAACTAGGCAATGCGCAGAGAATACTAGTATTAGGAAAATCTGACTCCTTCTGTTATAATTTGTGGAGTACCACATAAATCTTTATTTACCCTTTTGCATTTTTCATAGTCAGGCATTTTTAAAATTGTTGAATTTTAGATGAATACAAATACACAGGGGTCAGCAAATACCATAAAAGGAAATATAAAAATATACAGTCTCTTTTAAGGATTTGGGAAAGAGAACAAATTGAATTTAAGACTAAGCACACAAAAGCACACACAGCAGGGATGTATATTATTTTAGAATGAACACCATTTCAGATTACGGTGGGAGTTAAAAGCAGT